AGATGCATCTGAAGAAGTGAGGTTCTTACCCACGAAAGCTTATGCTCCCAGTACTTCTGTTAGTCTCAAAGGTGCCACAGGACCCTCTGTTGCTTTTTACAGATTCAGACTAACACGGCTACTCCTCTGATACTGTTTTAGGCTGTAATATAACATTAACTACCCTATAGAAGAAAAGGGAATTATTCTGGGAAATTAGGAGATGTACAACATAGTCCACCGGAATTTCTCAATGACAAGAGGAACAGAACTCTAAACCTACTGGTCCAATAATGCAGGCCTCTACCACATAAATTAAAAGAAAATCTCAGTTAGCTAAAAACATGAGAGGGCCTATGACACACAGATGAGTAGTTCAGATACCATCTAGTAGAGGGCAGTGGCACACACTAATACACACTCATAAACTAGCCAGTTCATTACAATATTTATATTGTCAAGCAAGAAGTTCAAATAATATATTTTGGAATTTTTTGCTTTAGACATAAAAATAAGGCCTTTCCAAATGACTTCTTTGGGAGGACTCAATAGCACAAGGAATTAGTAATGAGACATAGAGCCTTTGTCTCTAGTTATCAGTCCAGTTTAGCTGATTGTGAACAAAAGTTATTACCATCAAATATCTGTTCAGCAGCTAAAATGAAAAGAGCTGGTAGTTCCAGACCACATCCTAGAAGAAAGGCGTTGGTAATCTCATCAAAGATGGCCAAAGGGTTGAATGAGCACAGAGAAGGAATCAGACTAATATGTTTTTTGGAAAAGGTTTGTGGAAATTTTTATTGTCATTCTGTACCTGTTCTGTGGTTAAAGGGCTTCATTTTCCAGGATTGTCAATTTGACGACCTTTCAGAAACACTGATTTCAATTGGAATAGAAATGACTATAAAAATGCCTGAGTCGTGAGCATATTTGCATTTTAAAAACATATTTGTAAATCATTAATCGTAGGCCTGGTCTTTACTACAAAGTTAGGTCGGCTTAACTGCATTGCTCAGGGTTCTGAAAAATTGCACGCTCTGGGCAATGTAATTAAGCTGACCTAAGCCCTGGTGTAGACACCACGAGGTCAATGGACAAATTCTTCCATTGACCTAGCTGCCACCTCTTGGAGAGGTGGATTTACTAAAGTGACTTCCATCTCTGTGGTGTCTACACTACAGTGCTACAATGGTGCAGCTGCAGCACTTCAGCTGCGCTGCTGAAGTGTTTCTGGTGTAGACATACCCTGAGTCTTCTTTTTATAATCGGTGCCAATTCAGATATTCCTTGGGGCAAGGGAGGGAATTCTGGTCCCTGCTGCCCTCCCATCAGGGACCCTATTCTGGTCCTCGCTCATCCCCCCACCCCTTTCTCCTTCTGGAAACCCACGTCTCCCTTAGCTGGGGAGTCTCCCATCTCATAGTGCATGAGCCAGTGCTGCCAGGAGTGGATCAGCAGAATCCCCAGTGCTCTGCCGTACCGGAACAGACTCCTCATGTGCTAGGCCACAACACCATGTGGCTCAGCTTTCCCTCTACCTGGATGGATGGGTGACCAGGCCTAATTTGAGTGGCATTGCAACCCCATGTGAAACTGAATGTCTGAAGTTAAGCTCTTAAATCAGTACTTAGGTGGCTAAATAAGTGACCTGATTTTCAAAAGTGCTGAGCACCCAGCAATTCCTTTTGCGTAAGTAATAAAGATGGATCTTTTGACTCCCAGTTCTGTCCTCAATCCTTTAGACCAGTGCTTCTCAAAGTCGGGCCGCTGCTTGTTCAGGGAAAGCCCCTGGCGGTCCGGGCCGGTTTGTTTACCTGCCGCATCCGCAGGTTCGGACGATCACGGCTCCCACTGGCCGCAGTTCGCCGCTCCAGGCCAAAGGGGGCTGCGGGAAGGGCGGCCCGCACATCTCTCGGCCCGTGCCGCTTCTTGCAGCCCCCATTGGCCTGGAGTGGCAAACCGCGGCCAGTGGGAGCCGCGATTGGCCAAACCTGCGGACGCGGCAGGTAAACAAACCGGCCCGGACGGCCAGGAGCTTTCCCTGAACAAGCGGTGGACTGGATTTGAGAAGCACTGCTTTAGACCACATATGTTAGTTAGAGATTTCTGGAACAGGATGGTCTGTGAATACAAGCCTTTGTCAAGTTTCTTTAATCATCTTGAATTATCTGTTTTTCTTTCATTACTATCTCTACATGTTATATCAACATACCACCGGACTCAGCAAGAGTGAACCTACTGTAGTTGAATATAATTATTCCACCTCTAAACCCCGTCTATGTAGGCATTGCATTTTCATGCTATGTTTCCACATGCCACATCCGCATTTGTGCTGTCTGAGCCTGTTTTGCAGATCTTTTGCATGGAACCAGTTTTCTGTTGGAATTAAGTGTGACATTGTACTGAGCAGGAGGATTTGATAACAACAAGTAGCATTTGAGGCTGGATTTGTAGCAAGTTGCTTTGTCTTTCTTCACTGCACACTCACTCCTTGCTCTTAGAAATGAAAATACTGATATTGATGATTAATTAGTTTTACAAATCTTTACACACAGTGTAAAATTCAAAGTGTCAGATCCTCAGTGCAAAGTGGACATAGAGCTGCACTAAAACAGCAGCTGGAAACTCCTCTTGCATGAAGGAGTCTCTGGCTGGTATAGTGCCATGGTAATGTAAGGGGCAGGAAGAGTGTGGCTGGAGCACCTTGTTTTCTGATGATCTTGAATAGAATGGCCACTAAGAAGTATTATTGCAGTGGCAACATAAGTTTAAACAGTCCTAAGACTCCTTGGACTTATGCATGAACAAGCCACAAGTTGCCACCAGGTTTGGGGAGATGGAAAGGTGGCTTAAAGTCACTTTGCTCCTTGCCTTGGTTTCTGTACTGAACATAGCTTGACCAGACCTGAGGTTCTGGCCCTAATTCTGTTTCTACACTGAGACAGACTGGATAAGAATATTTTCCAGCAGTATTTAGTAAAGACAGGTTATATGTTGGCAAATAATAAACAAATCTACAAAGATAGGGGGCTTCATATTCTGAGAAGATACTTGAAGCAGGATTAAGATGGCTGCCTTTTTTTACAGGTGATTTATGAAAGAAGATTTTTGTAGTTACTTAATTGACTGGCAACAGCAAAACAATACATTGGATCTTTCCTTCTATAATTCAGCAGTTATCTGTTTATTACTCTTATACAAAACAGAACATTTCCTTTCTTGCTGCTCAGATCTGCTACTGGCAATTCTTCAACAAAAAACTTCAAAAACAGACTTCAACGAGAAACTGCAGAACTGAAATTAATTTGCAAACTGGAAACCATCAAATTAGGCCTCAATAAAGACTGGGAGTGGATGGGTCACTGCAAAAAGTAATTTTCCCTCTATTGATACTCATACCTTCTTGTCAACTGTTGGGAATGGGCGATGTCCACCTTGATTGCATTGGCCTCGTTAGCACTACAAAAGTAATTTTCCCTCTGTTGATATTCACTCCTTCTTGTGAACTCTTGGGAATAGTTCCATCTTAATTGAATTGGCCTCATTAGCACTGACCCCTCACTTGGTAAGGCAACTCCCATCTTTTCATGTGCTGTAATATATATTCTGCTTACAGTATTTTTCACTCCATGCATCTGATGAAGTGGGTTTTAGCCCACAAAAATTTATGCCCAAATAAATGTGTTGGTCTCTAAGGTGCCACAAGGGCTCTTTGTTGTTTTTGTGAAAATCTAGTACATTGATTCAGGAGTATCCTGAGAATAATTTTGGAAAATCCCGGACACTTGATAAAATCTGGTTGATGGGAAA